AACTGAAGATCGAGTGACTCTCTGTTTTCCTCCCCGCTGTATAGAGATTATCCATGCTCGCCACTGTCATACTTTTTCCCATTCATCGTTTAGAGTGTTCAGTGAGCTAGAAATTACATGGGTGTGGAACGTCGGGCTGACAGCAGAAACGGGCGAAGCATGGCACCCTGGTTCACTCTGCGCCACATTATTTAAGCGTACAGGATCGGGGAACGGTGGAGGAAAAATGGATCTGCCTAAGAGCTAATTTGTTTGAGTTTGCAGACGTGTCACACGAAGAACAGTTCTCAACAGACGCTAAGACGAATGGGGCCGCATTCCTACAACGAATTGAGGAGCAGTATGTCGAAGAATTTGCAGAAGGCCGCGGCCGCTCGATTAACAGAGGCACGACTGCAGCTCTGTTCCGCAGATTGCACCGATAGCAGCCTCACAGTCCGCCGGGGAGGGCCGTGTTCGCCCAGAGGCCCCAAGAAATAATTTGTTTGGGTTTGCAAAAGTTTCGCATGGAAATCAGTTCTGAACGGACGCTGAGGCAAACGTGCCTGCATTTATACGACGAGTCAAGAAAGAGATGTTGAAGGTGCAGAAAGGCCGTGGTCGCGCGATCCCCAATGGTAGTCGAGAAACAATATATCGATGAATGTGCAGAAGAAAGCCCGCGGTCGCTCGTTTACCAACAGCGGTCGGGAAATAGTACGTCAGTGAATGTATAGAAGGCCGAGGTCGCTCGATTCCCAGGCAGCAGTCCTGCAATTTGTCTGCGGGGAGAAGCCATAGTCGGGAACTCCTAAGAGATAATTTGTTTGGATTTGTAGAAGTATGACACCGAAGCGCTTCTGCAGTTCGCAGGAGGCGCTGAGGCAAGCATACCTAAATCCATACGACGAGTCAAGGAGTAGTATGTTAAATGTTGTGCGACGCGGCCGCTCTATTGTCAATGGTCAATGGTACCTGCTCAACGAGCAACTACTTCGCAAACTACACCGGTAGCACTCCAGCAATTTGTCCGCAGGGAAGAAGCCGTGGTCACGGAAGCGATTTTAATGCGCTGGCAAGTGTTCCTCGTCATCCAGCAACGGTCAGGAAGTGCAAGTCTAGGACGGGCGCATCAGGCTTACCGACGCGATCGTGCATTTTCCCACTAAATTTGAATCAAAAGGATTGTTAACATATGAATCTATAGAGGAAAATGAACAATTTCTTTTATATAAGCTTTACATATTTTAGGATTTGTATATGCTTTGTTTGTTTGATGTATATTGTAAAGGGGTTTGCATATCCTTTGTATAATATCTTGTAAAGGAATGCTGCATGTGTAAAAATTTCTTATAAAATCACGCTGGGGTCTTGCGACGAAAAGTCCCGGGCAGTGTTTCCCAGGTTATGTTTTGAATTATGTGGGAACAAAGCAAAAACTATGCTGGAGATATTCTCCGGCAACCTAAGTACATGTATCCCCGGTCGGAAAAAGCAGAGGAACTATGATGACTGAAAATGTAGCACGTTATCTTCGCGCGCCGATCCCAAATGGAAGGCTGGGAAACGCTAGCACTTCGACACGTCATTCTTTCGTTTGACTCCCAAAACTCCCTATGCATTGCTGCAATAAATGTATAGATTTTTAGCTAATAATATGTGTATGTATTTGAATGAATTCATTGTTTTGCATTCCTTTTGCGATCTGATTCCCAGAGATGCACTATACATACGTGTGGACATTTACAAATAAGTTTACAAATACACGTGCACGGACTGCCGGTGCGATGTTTTTTGCACAGTT